TCCTTTTGTAAATTAGCAGCTTCCTCTTCACAGCTAGTAACACCCAAGACCTTAATATCATCTGCAAATTTAAGTAATTTATTGACTATCCCTTCATCTATGTCATTGATGTAAATCAAAAAGAGCAAAGGCCCTATGACTGAGCCCTGAGGTACCCCCACTTGTGATGTTAATCTAGTTTGACTGAACTCCATTTGTAACAATCGTCTGCTTTCTTCCATCCAGCCACTCTTCTATTCAATTTGCTAACTTATTCCCCACACCTATAGAGCTAATATTTTTTACAAGCCTGTTATGTGGCACCTAGTCAAATGCTTTCTGAAAATCCAAATACACCAAATATACACCCTTACCCTCATCTTCATAAGGAGTAACCCTTTTCAAAGAATGTTAAGAGATTTGTAAGGCAGGATTTTCCCTTAGTGAAACCATGTTGACTATCCAATAAAATTCTAAACTTTGTTAAATTACTTTGCAAAGCATATTTTGACAGACTTTCCAAAATTTTTCCCACAACTGATACTACTTAATATCTGGGTCTGTAATTACTGGGACAATTTTTATCACCTCCCTTGAAAAGAGGAGTTACATTAGCTAACTTCCAATCCTCCAGTAAATGCCCACTATTCAAGGACTAACAAAAAAATAGTAGCAAGTGGCTCACATATCCAATCTTTAACCTCCTTCAAAACCCTTGGGGAAATATTATCTGGCCCAGGAGCCTTATCATTTTTAGACTTCCCAATTTTTTCTTAACTAGCTCAGAATTAATGCAGTCATCTTGTTTGATCTCTGTATCCATTTATTATCTGTTCAAGATGTGGAATACTGCTTAAATCTTCGTTAGTAAAAAACCGAAGAAAAGGCAAAATTTGATAAGCCAGCCATCTCGTAATCATCAGATACTAGACTTCCTTCATCATCCCTCAAGGATCCTACCCCCATCCTAACATTTTGTTTAGCCTTAATGTATTTAAAGAAATCCTTACTGTTAATTTTTACATTTTCAGACAACTTTTTCTCGTACATCCTTTTTGATGTCTTAATTTTCTGTTTCACCAACTTTCTTGATCTTCTATAATCTTCTAAGTCTCCCGTCATATTGGTCAATTTAAATTTCTTAAATTGATTATGCTTTTCTTTCACTTTATTTCTTATACTCTTTGTGAACCAACCTGGTTTTTTCACTTGTAGCTACCCTTTTCTTTCTATTAGGAGTATGTTTACATTGAATATTTAAAAATTTATCTTTAAAAAAAATTCAACATCTGATCATTGTCTCCAAATAACTCAGCTGCCCAATTCACAACAGATG